ATACAAATAACATTTAAACAACATTTTCCACTAGCTCGCACAAGCTCAAAACATATTCATTAATACGCCTTTCAGGACAAATTTATAATGAAAACTTTAAACTTGAATCAAGATCAATAATCTAAACCTGTGTTATGTGAAAAAACTGGCAGATGATTGCACCAAGCTAGAAATTTAAAAAATAAAAACACTCGCCTCTCCTCTCCAACAAGTCTTGTTGATATTTGATAGGCTTTTATATTTTACAGTCTACAGTTATTAAGTTCCACGATTTTCTTTTGTCACATGATAGTCCCATCCACGCTTTTCTATTTTAACTACCCAAGTTTAATTTGGAAGTTATCACATCATCAATATCCTCATATTAAGCACATTGATACATTCTAAAAAATAATGGAGATATAGTACTCCCATGACATAACATATAAAGTTAAATCATGTGATAAATTTTACGCAACGCCATAAAAACTACAATCAGGAGTTGAAAGATAATTGCTATTGAATATAGCTATGGTCAATATTCAATGCCATAGCTATATGTTGAAATTTTGATTAAAATTGTTTATATCTTTCTTGATCAAGCTACCCTATGGGTCATGTGAAGTCTATAAATAAATAAATAGAGGCGTGTAATAAAGAGTGAGGTCTAATTTTCAAGATTGTGTGTATGTTTAATGTGTAATGCTTTCAAGTATGATGCAAGTATGTCTATCTAATTTTAAGGCAAGTAAACTCCTTGAACTGACAATAGGAAATGAATTTTTTTCACTTTAGTGAACATTTTCTTTATCTATTTTCTTCAAGATACTTATGTTATTGACTCGCTAGAATTCTTAATATTATTATTTTTTCTTTTTTTTTTCTCTTTTTTTCAGATCTCTTGATATTATTCAAACTTGATATAATTGATAATTCAATTGTAATGAGACATTTTCAATTGCTTGCTGCTTTTTAAATGGCTGCTGATTTTTGTGGTGGTTCAAAATTATTGTTAGTTTGTTTGGATTTAATAGTTCATAGCATTATAGATTTTGATTATAATTCCCATACATATTGGCTGCATCTAAGGAAAGCAATTTATTGGGCAATAAATGATTTTTAATTTTTTATTCTTTATATTTATGTGACTTCTCTTCATTGCATTAGAAAATACTAACAATTAAAAATCGTTCATTACCCACCAGATCGAAGTTGAATTTACAATGGCTGTCGTGGACTCCATCTTTTATTATACCAAAAATAGTTAGATTGCACCAAAAAAAAAAAAAAAAAAAAAGGCCACACCCAAATAAAAAGAAAGCCAAACTAAACAGTTAC